TGTCCATGTGACCCCACAGCCTGTCTCTCCATGCTCCCCTCACTGCCTTTTCCTCTCTGCTGGCCATCCATAAACGGTGTGACCATAAAGTAAAGTAACTGATCTTTTAACTCCCAAAAGCAATCTTAGTTTAGTCCCTTAAGAATTAGTTAGGGACAGGCACTGTGGCCCATGCCTGTAATCTCAGCACTTTGGGAGGCCAAGGTGGGCAGAGCACTTGAGCCCAGGGGTTTGACACCAGCCTGGACAACAGGGTGAAACCCAATCTCTACCAATCAATCAATCAATAAATAAGCCAGGTGTGGTGGTGTGTGCCTGTAGTCCCAGCTACTTAGGAGGCTGAGGTGGGAGGATCACTTCAGCCCAGGAGGCTGAGGTTGCAGCGAGTACAGATCACACCACTGCACTCTAGCCTGGAAGACAGAACTAGACCTTAAAAAAGAAAAAGAAAAAAAAAAATCAGTTGGTTCCATATAATTTTCCTTAAAGCCAACTGCTTCTAAATTCCCATCTCCAGCAAGGGCTTGGATCTCTCCAGATTTGCCACAACCTGGTAACAGCTATATTGTTTCTACTTGTATTTATTTTCACTCTCTTTCCCTTCTTTTCACCAATGTCCACATTGTACCAGGACTCTTATTAAGGGTGTAATTAGAATATTTTCTAAACTTCTATGGAATTCCTGAATGTTAGAGCTGGAAGGAATCTTTTTTTTTTTTTTGAAGCGGAGTCTCGCTCTGTCGCCCAGGCTGGAGTGCAGTGGCTCGATCTCGGTTCACTGCAAGCTCCGCCTCTCGGGTTCCCGCCATTCTCCTGCCTCAGCCTCCCGAGTAGCTGGGACTACAGGCGCTGCCACCACGCCCGGCTAATTTTTTTGTATTTTTAGTAGAGACGGGGTTTCATTGTGTTAGCCAGGATGGTCTCGATCTCCTGACCTCGTGATCCGCCCGTCTCGGCCTCCCAAAGTGCTGGGATTACAGGCTTGAGCCACCGCGCCCGGCCAGAAGGAATCTTTTTAGAAGAGGTTTTGAACTCCCTGCCCTCTACCAGTCTGTGCTAGGGGAGGGGACTTGTACATAGCCAGAGAGCAAGTAATCAGAAGCACCATCAAAACCCCAGCTTCCTGGTCCCAAAGTCACCTTCCCATTATGCCGGGTTAGTGGACATGCAAAGTGGACTAAGTGCCTTAGAGAGTTTAATAAAGACTAAGGCCGGGTGCGGTGGCTCACACCTGTAATTCCAACACTTTCGGAGGCTGAGGTCCCTTTACTAACAATACAAAAATTAGCTGGGCATGGTGGCAGGTGCCTGTAATCCCAGCTATTCGGTAGGCTTAGGCAGGAGAATCACTTGAACCTGGGAGGCGGACGTTGCAGTGAGCCGAGATCGCATCACTGCACTCCAGCCTGGGCGACAGAGGGAGACACTGTCTCAAAAAAAAAAAAAAGAAAAAAAAAAGACTAAGAGCTGTACTCACCAATGTAACAAACACAGTAAATAGCAAAATAGCATCTTCAGTTTTTCTTTCTTTTCTTTTTTTCTTTTTTTTTTTTTTTTTGCGACGGGAGTCTCACCTGTCACCCAGGCTGGAGTGCTATGGCGCCATCTCTGCTCACTGCAAGCTCCGCCTCCCGGGTTCACGCCATTCTCCTGCCTCAGCCTCCTGAGTAGCTGGGACTACAGGCTCCTGCCACCGCGCCCGGCTAATTTCTTTTTGTATTTTTAGTAGAGACGGGGTTCACTGTGTTAGCCAGGATGGTCTCGATCTCCTGACCTCGTGATTCGCCCGCCTCGGCCTCCCAAGATGCTT